GGTGAGGCCTCAAATTCTACCTCACCCACATACTTCAAAACGACAAGTCATGGGAAAAGATCAAAAAAGAAATGATCGTTTGGTTCAAAGAATACAACGACGACTACGACAAAGACTCGCTTATAACCCACCATCCACAGACAACCACACTCGACCGTCACAGTCGAACAGCCTTCACACATTGACCAACCTCCTGCTTTTCCATCGCGTGGATCTTCGGTCGCTCACAACGCCCACCTCGCGTCTCACAAGCCTACTACGGTCGGGATAGAGCGGCGGAACTCCGAATATACTCAGCCAAGCCCAGGGCCAACCGTCCACATTCATGCGTCAGAACAGCTTATTTCCAAAGTTGCGGACACAGAGAAACAGCCCCAAGTAAAATCTGACCAAACCAATCCTTCCACAGTGTCGCCGTCGAGTTCCCAGCCACCTGAGAGCACAACCAACACAGGAGGATCGGAAGGATCAACTTTCAAGCACTGCCCTGTGCCAGGAACCTCCATTAAGAATGTCTTTTTAAGAGCCTCAGCAGATTTTGCTGTCAATTGCGGCGCACTATCTTCATTGCCTGGCACAAATCGCGACACCCTAACAAGTATCAGCGATTTTCTGGTCACATCAATTTACAAAGAAGAGCAGGCTCATGTTTCTAAAGGAAGTTCACCTCTTCAGATAGTGCGACATAAGCAATGCCAACAAAAGCTACAAGGAGAAGCCTAACAGCTAAAACAGCCCCACCAACAAGGACAACGAAGAACTAAAGCCACATCGCAAGCATACTTGCGGCTTAAAGAATGTCGTGAACAACGACCACAAAAGAAAACACTGATTCCGCATCTAAGCCAGCTTCGAAGAAAGAAAAGCCAAGGGACTTTATCGCCGCAGAAAACTCCCTAAACGCCACAAAACAACCGCTTGTACTCAGCAGGAACACAAGCGGCGCCCAATCAGCCACAAGCAACAGACACGCAAACTGCTTGCACGGCGTTTGTATCACTCACGAGAAAAAATGCGACGCCTACAAAACTGTCGATCCTGCAAGGCATTCCAACCTCGTTCACTTCCAGCAAAAACGCCGGCAGCGTTTCCATCTGTTTCCACGCTCAAAGCATGCTTATGTTGTCCAGAGCGTAACAGCCAGCCTTTCCCACCAGAGCCATACATGATAACCCCGGATTGCTGCCCTTTCCTGTGAAGTCTGTGTGACCTTACGAAACTGCAATGTGATGTGGAATTACAGCTCATTTGGACATTTTTTGTGTGTGTTCTAAGACCGCTTGTTCATCAGGCATTGTAATATGCAACGCGCGCATTCTTTCGGGGGGAGGGGGAATCCTGTTACGAAAGACGGTAGCGATGGTTAAGAGTTAGAAGAAGTAGAGAAGGAAGAAGTGAGAATAGAATAAACATGGCGTATGAGCCAGGCCACGTCTCCCACTCATCATAGCGTCGCATATATATATATATATATATATATATATATATATATATATATATATATATATATATATATATATATATATATATATATATATATATATATATATATATATATATATATGCCTCGCCACGGTGGTCTAATGGCTAAGGTACTCGGCTGCTGACCCGCAGGTCGCGGGATCGAATCCCGGCTGCGGTGGCTGCATTTCCGATGGAGGCGGAAATGTTGTAGGCCCGTGTGCTCAGATTTGGGTGTACGTTAAAGGACCCCAGGTGCTCCAAATTTCCGGAGCCCTCCACTACGGCGTCTCTCATAATAATATAGTGGTTTTGGGAAGTTAAACTCCACATATCATTCGAGAGGGGGCCGAGGACTATAAATCATTTGCAGGATGTTAGTTTAGGTGCTTCTTGATAAAAGAATTGATTTTAATTACAATGTGCTCACAAATTAAATGGCATGAAGGAATTCAGCTTGTTTATAGTGATTCATTGTAGCATGCCGACATAAAAAAGAAAAAGACACAAACAAGTCAAACGTTATAACGTTTGAGCTGTCTGAATCTCATCTTTTTCCGTGCCGTATGCTGTCATACATATGCATCCACCACTATGTTGCTGTTTGAGTGATTACTCATCAGACAAACACAGTAGAAGGGCCTTGCAGTGTAACAAGAGGAACCAGCACCTACTTTCATTGATTGTCAGATATACCCTAATGAAGCGCTATAAAACTGGCTTAAGGTATGTGTATTTTTATGCTGATTTTGAATATGCAGCTATGTTTCTACTAGTGTATGTCGCCTTAAACATAGCAAACATTTCATGTGACATGTTAAGAACATATTTCCATAACACCAAAGAGTTACAAGATAAGAATCAAAATATTATAAAATGGAAACTGTATGCAACAGAACCTGAATGCATGTTCTAAAACCTCTTAACCAAAGTTATCTTATGCTGAACACTGACGTGTATGTCTAGCTGGAGAACTGTTTACGAGAGCTCCACATAACATAATTTTAATTAACTCAAACAAGCTTAAACATGGCTTAATTAGGTTGACTAATTGTTTCATAAACATCATGATGGTACAGCGCAGTAAACTCGCTTAAATAGTGCATACAGCTTTTATCCCTAATTTCCCTGACTTGCTCTAAAACTCTTCTGTTTGGAAACACAGGCTTGCTCATGGAGACACAAAAGTTTTATGTATTAAAGCTGCGTTTTTTTTTGAGAAGGATAATTCGTATTGAAATCGGTACATAAATAGACACGAAGTCAGCAAGTTTCATCAACATCGATCACAAATACAAGTGAACGCATTATTTGTTTGAGAGTGTCCCATTGAGTGGGGGTCGGCAATATCATTGGAAAGGGGTCACCCTGACTACCAAGAGGTACTAACTGGGAACCATGGGGTAGTCCCAAGGACTCCTACGTTGGAAGCCATACATACCATAACATACCTGCACGAAAATCAAAACACAAAAGAAGAGAAGGCACAAACTCCTCTTTTGTGTTTCCGTCTGTTTTTGCGCACTTACGTAATGGACTAACTGGCCGAACTTACCACTCTTTTTCAAGCCATACATACACTCTTTCCTTGTGAAGAAGGAAGACATTGGTCTGAAGAACAAAGAAAGTCGTATGACCCCCGAAAAAGAGCGTCATTTGAGTAGCAAGGCGCTTACCACCCAGAGGTTGTCAGTTCAGACACACTTTTTTTTAAGAGTGCAGCCAACACTCATTTAGTGGATGACTCGTCGCTCAGATGCCCACCCGAGACGCTCTTGTCGGTCGCGGTCGATTGTCTCAAATTCTCGTATATTGTGAAGCGCAAGTCTTCATCCTAAAATGACCTCATGAGGAGCATTGTGCAGTATTTCTGTGATCAGACACCTGTCAGCACTTGCTCACTCGTGTCGCAGAAGTCCAAGTGTGAATCCCTGCAAATACGCGCCTTGGCGTGACAGTGTGATGCCCAGTCATTATGACGAGACACCATGGCCTTTGCTTCTGGCGTGTGACGCTTCACGCTATGACATCGGTGCAGTGCTTTCCCAGATTGAAGATTAAGGCAGAGAAGCAGCGATAGCCCAGTGTTGAAACGAAACGAACAACTAAAACGAAAAAAATGATAATTTTCACCGAAACGAAAACGTAACCGGAACGTCATTAATTATTTCGTTACTTCGTATGCTGCGGAGATCAGCATACGAAGAAGAATTGAGCTGCTGTCTTCCAAGCGAGCGCCAAGAAGTGGGCACACCACTATCATCATCATGGGCTGTTCTGCGTTTTAATGCCGCCATTAAAAGCGTTTTGTTGATGGTCTCGCGGCCTCTTATTTCTGGCGGCGCTATACCTATCGAAAGCCGGCATTCCGTGACTCGCATTATGCTAAAGTTAGGCATTTTCCAGCATACACGTACTTTCACCACTTCATATTTGCAAGCATCAGTGTCAAGGCTCAGTAGGATTTTGTCCTGGGAGGTATGCGAACCCGTGTTGCATCGTGGCTGAGCATGAGCGAATGGGATGGCGAGTGCTGGCCTGACTTGAAGGGGGTCAAGTGCCCTCTTGCATCCCTTTGCCGACGCTCACGTTTGCAGGCACGCCGCGAGTTGCGTTGGCGTGCCTTGATAGACATCAACCCGCTGAGGATATGGAAGACGCACGTACGCATTGGGTTACACGATAGGACTGCCTAAAGATAGTGTATTTATTCTGCAAATTTTACAAGAATGGCTACTTAATGCCCCAGAACAAAAGCTAAAGCTAGTAAAAAGGTAGCGATGGCACCAACCTAAATTTTTTGTCACCAGACGGGGCCATAAACTAGCCAATTTTGCACAAAATAGCCACCACCGGCAACCCTGCTTCATACTGAGAAGAGACGACAGCTTTTCTCATCTATGGCATGCCGTGAACAAATAAATGGGCACAAACACAAGCACACGCAAGATGGCAATTTACCGCTTGCGTACACGAGAAGTGACAACTTCACCGAAGACATGTGGACATACGTCGCTACTTTGAGATTATTGTCTTACCATCTTTTCCTAACTCTCTTCTTTAATTCCCATACTTTCTCTCGCGAAGGATGTGCATGTGTTGATCAAACATCTGATTAATTTTAATGAACATGAAAGTACATGGTGACGTGTTTAAACATTTTTAACAATAGTAGTGAATATTTATCATGCTTGTATGTTTATTATGGATATAATTTGTTTATTATGTTTAAAGCGTGTTGCAATGCGTTGCAAACTTCGTATATGGATCAGTTCGATGTTTCACATAGAAGTGTTTTTTTTATGCATTGTACTTTTGAGTTTGCCCATCAACAATTTGTTGCAAAAAAGAAAAAAAAGGACACCGACCTCGTCAAGCCGTTATCTGGGTTTTTGTCAGTGTTCCTGTTATCTGTAACATGTATAGATGCGAAATAAAGTTCAAGTTAACATTTCTACTCATGGCCGAAGAATAGTTTTGGCTTCCCATTTTCCCATTGTCACTTTAATTTTCTGTGAAACGTGTTGTTCTACATGCAGCCTGAAGTCTGCGAGGCCGAGGTGTGGGAAAACCAAGACGAAGACGGACGTCACCAGATGGCGCTACTCCGATCGAGCTGCTTGCAAGTCGAAGAGCTGCGCAATTGACTTCGTATTTGCTCCCGTTAATATGAAACCACAACACTTGAGTTTCTACTACAGTAGGTATGGGCTGAGAGCATATATACATCTTAACATGTGGTTTGAAGGACAAAGGCAAAAAAAAAAAAAAAACGGAAATATAGAAGACCAGTCAGCACACCTCTTGCAATGTGCTTCTTGGCGTGGCAGCTGGAACAAATCGGATAGGAATTTAAAGGGCTAGATGGATTGCTGTTAAGTGTCAAAGTATTTATCTAATGATAGCTCGACCTCAATGAAGCCAGTGCCGTGTTTTATAGGTTCACAGCCAAAATCACTGTACTACCATGTCTATAACTAATGCACGCTTTATTCCAAATAAACAGCCAAGTGACAGGAGTTATTTACTTTTACCTTAATCACTAGTCAGTAGCAGTCAGTTCGAAGCAAGTCGGTTGCGAACTGGAAGTGTCCTGTATTGTGGCAAACTCTACAATATCTTCATCACCACATTTCACATTGCATTTTTTACCGTTAGCTGAAAGGGTATTATGAGCATCTAAAAGATTTTCTGGTAGCGATTCATGCTGTGGCAATTGTTATTCCTGGCTATGCGTGCTGAGAAGACCTGAAATGAAACTAGTGCCGAGATCCTTGTTAAAGTATGCGGGCATTGCTTCTTAGAGGGACACTACAGTCAAATAACAATTTATGCCAGATTGAAGGCTCAATGCATGACATCTAAAACGACAACATTATCAACAGCAATGCCCTACTTACCGGCTGCAGTAGGACATTCCCAAAGTGTTTCCAATGATGTCCGAGGTACCGTCTACAATTAATCACTACTGAAATAGCTGTACTAAATAAAGAACCTTTCGTGCATCAAGAGACGCAATAAAATGCTGCTTGTTTGTTTTTGTTTGATTCATAAAAAAGAACCACTGGATGTTTTTATGAGGAATGGCACGAGTGGTTCAAAAATTCAATTTTCGCATGCTTAAAATGAACAGGTCGTGCCATCTAGCAGGGCCAGTTGAACCGAAACACGTCTGCCATCTCCGAGCCAATGGCAGGAATTTGATCAATGACTATTCTTGCTGCCGTGGCTCCGCTGCTTTCGTTCTGCTGCTACTAGTGTCAGCGGCCACGCAATAAAGCCGGGCAACGTTGTGCACAAGCAAGAGTGACGTTAGACGATCTGCTTATTGAGGTGGATAATTTGAAGTGCGTTCACCCAATGCCGACCACTAAAATGTGACTTTATTTAAAATTAAGCCCTTCTTTGGCACAAAAGTAAGACTACGAGGTTTCTGGGCCGCTATTTCAACAATCAACGTCGATTTAATAGTTGCCTTTAGTGTCCCTTTACGTATAGTTTCTGCGTATTCACGAATCGCCCGATTTTCTTATTTACAACACACTTTCCCTTAAAAATGCAGGAGCGAATTGGATACTGATACAAGTAACAAAGCTTTAAGGACACTTAAATCACCCACAAGTCGGAATTTGATTGTGCTGTTGCAATGGCGCTAGATTCGACAACGAACACATAGCCACAGGAATATTTAGAAATGGCATCGTAAATGTCCTTCGCTCGTCCCACTTCGCGACGTTTGCCGTCTGGTCTCTTCTCCTCTCAAAGCGCTCCGTTTCCCTTTGCGCGGGTGAAGGCATGGCTACTACGAAACGCCCAACTGTTCAGGTTACGTTACGACCAACGCTACGGATATAGGAAAGGCCCGAAAAGAAGTATATGAAAGTGTTTGTTTGTTTCTTTTTGTAGCAAGCTCGCGGCGTAGCGCTCGACACAGACTTCCACATTGCAAGCAACATTATGTTTTTTCTTCATTCTTGATTTATACGGTAAGTTGTGTGTTTAGCTTTGCGTTGGGAAAGATTTTTTGCCTATGAGCCTATCAAGAAATTGTGTACACCCTTAGCCCAGGCCAGTGATTCCTCATTGGATCTTAAATAAAATTTATTATCCTACCTACCCAGCAGTGGCCGCAAGCCTGCATGAGAAGCTGGGCCATGGTCTCTGGCCACCGCGGTCTCCAAAGTTCCAGCTGCTTGTGTGTGGTTATGCGCGCGTATCGTTGCATGAAAAGCGGTTTTTATAGAACTTTTTTTTCAAAGATAGAGCGAGTGAACGTCCTGCCTTCAAAAAAAGTTTATCAACACTGCTATTCAAGCAAGAAAGTAAAAGGGACGCAGCTTAATTGTGTCTTTCATTTATGTTAACCAACCCAATCGGCGGTCAGTTTATCCGTTTCTTTTTTTTTTTTTTTTAGAAAGAAGACATGCATGTATGTTCGGTTCCTTAATTGCGTGTATTGGCAAAAAACACTCATTGGATCACGAGGGTAAAAAAGAGTGTATGTAGTGAGGAGTGGGTGACAGCCGGTTGCATTATATGAGCAGTAGCTTTTCTTTTACTCATTATGCGGCTGCGTTTCGCAGCTATTTCGCAAGCACGGCACAAGTCCTATAGCCGTATCACCTTTTTGTGGTACCAAAACTAGCAATTGAGAATTCAGGCTCACTTTCGGGCCCTTTCGCTCTAAGTTGCTCGAGGATTCACAGTTGCTCCGCTCATCATGCCTATGCACATTAAGTAAAATTTCGTAGAACGGCCATGTTGAGAGTTCTAAAGTTGTTAAACTTGTATAACATTTACAGGTTGTCAGTAAAGCGATTATTTATTTTAAAAAATTCTTAATGTTGTGCTTGTTTTGTTATTTTACAAACTAATATTCAATTATATTCTAACACATATTTAATAGCCACGTCTGAAACTTTTCAACAATAATTGCTTCGTTCATTACCCTTATACATATTCTAGTTTAACTATGGAAGTTAAACAGTTCGTCCTATATTTAAGAATCTTTTTCTGAGTAATGCAAGTGATGAGAATGTGATTTAGTATAGGGTGCAGTTTCGAGCCACATTGTATCCATTTTGTATTTCTGCGCGAAATTTTTTTTGTTTATAACGTTTCGTATCTAGGGCACGGCGGCAACACAGCGATGCCGTCGGCTAATCCTCTTCTGTACTTCATGCAGATGTACGTCGCTTTCCTGCTACCTGTGGGACACGACGCACCAATATGCGCGGGACATGGCATTTTTATGCCGCCTTCCAGCGCGATCAATCAGCACACGTCACCGACGATTCTGAACCTTTACCAGTTGGCCTTCATCTGGGAGCAGCCCGTATCGGTGACAACCACGCATGGGCATGACACCAGACAATTTTCCCTGGTGGGGAAATGCGCCAGTTCGCCCATAAACTCTGGCGTCAATCGATTGTGGGCTGAAGGGCATGACGGCAACTCAACGATGCGGTCAGCTAATCCTCTTCTGTACTTCATGCAGATGTTCGTCGCTTTCCTGCTACCTGTGGGACACAACGCACCATTATGTGCGGGACATGGCATTTTTATGCCGCCTTCCAGCGCGATCAATCAGCACACGTCACCGACGATTCCGAACATTTACCAGTTCGCCTTCATCTGGGAGCAGCCCGTATCGGCGACAACCACGCATGGGCATGACACTGGACAATTTTCCCTGGTGGCGAAATGGGCCGGTTCCTCCATAAATGCTGGCGTCAATCGATTGTGGGCTGAAAGGACACGGCGGCAACTCAACGATGCGGTCGGCTAATCCTCCTCTGTACTTGATGCAGGTGAGCAGGCGCTATGGAAAATGCTTTCGTTCTAACGACCCATTTTTGATCAAGCTGCCGTGCCCGCAGCTCATTTGCTTGTTTGTAATTAATCTTGTAGACTGTGCTGAAAACTTATTGCTATTGTCAGTAGACGTAGAAAGAACCCCGGCCCTGGTGTTACCCAGTTTGCTAAGCAGCTACAAAGCATTGCTGACGATTTAGGGGAGATGAAAGAGGAGCACCTTACTGCTATTGAGTCGAAGCTGGCTAATATTAGTGCCCTAGACAACGAAATAGCAAACTGCGAAACCGGAATACGTGCCCTACAGGAAGTGGTTCGAAAACTTGAACTTCAGATTGATGATCTTGAGAATCGGTCTAAAAAAAATAATCTCATAATATATGGTGTTCCAGAAAGCGAGAAAGAAAACAGTGGCACCTTGGATGAAACAGTGAACGACAGTATCGTCAAAAACATTCTGAAAGCCAAGACAGTTGCCACAGAAAGGATACATAGACTAGGAAAGCCAAAAGCTAACAAATGCAGGCCAATTATTTTGCGCCTTGCTGACCATCGCGACAAAATAACAGTATTGCAGAACTTTTACAAGTTAAAAGTCAGCGATTACTCTATAAGTGACGACTTCTCAGCTCGCATTCGTGACATAAGAAAAAAACTATGGAATTAGGGTAAATCAAAAAAAGAAACAGGAGAAAAAGTATCATTAAGCTATGAAAAGCTCCGGATTAATGGTGAAATATTTTGCTGGGATGAGGAAAATAATAAAGCCGTTCCTGTAAGCCATGGCGCAAATGCTCCTGCAAAACAAAAAAAAAACCAGAAAGACGAACTGCAGAAGATACGGCCCCGCAAAAAAAAGTAACCTACATCAATCTGACAAGAAATGCGGGAATGAAGAACGCTGGAATGCCTACAAGCTCGCGTCTAAAAATTATGTAACAGCACTAAAAAAGGCCAAAAATTATTACTTACAAAACGTGTTACCATCCATGCTAACGAACGATATTAAAAAATTCTGGCGCACGATAAACCCCAAACTCGCCGACGCAATCACCCTAGAAGACGCTAGCGGAAATCAAATTCCTTTTCACTTATGGGGGGGCGCGGCAAGTAAAGTGCCGATTTTGGTCAAAATATGCGATTTTCTGATTTATTTTTTTTCGTAATCTTCAGACCTTCAACTTCCTTGTTCTAAAATATTACAGCGAAACGTGCGCTACAAATCCCGCAAATAGTGTTTTTGCCGAGGCTAGTCGCCGAAAAGTGCGAAAAAAAAGCCCCTGAAACGGTGTTGTTCACGCCGCACAAACGCGCCAAGTTGTTGACCGTGGGCCGCCATTTTGGTAGCTTTGGAAAGAGGAGAAAGCCGGCTTCCCGATGGTCGCGGTCTCGTATTTCGCCGAGTGAAAATAAAAGCGCGAGGAGCAAGTAAAAAAACGAAAACGAAGAACGGCAATTGGCTGCGCGGGTCACGTGGTAGCAGGCGCGACCTCTTACTGGTCAAAGCTGCGCCGCGCACCTTGGCAACCTTGGAAGCGCGAGCGCATCTGCGGCCGCCGAGTCGAGAATCATCCGGCGTGCGCTTCGTTTTTTGCCAGTTGGCTGTTTTTGTGATAGTTCGCGTGCTTTTTTTACCAAGCTTTGTTTACATCGGTGGTCTCTTCTGAGTGCTTGCTCATACTGCGGTGCTATGTTGTCGCAAAAAAAGTTCCGGAGCGTCCACAAGTACGGCAAGCGTCGGAAAGCTTGGAACAAAGGGCAGACGACTGCGGCTGCCGTCCCAGTCGCAGTTCCGGACGGAGCATGCTCTTCAAGCGTCACGGAGCCTCTACTTAGACCCTTCGCTGATTGTTGTGAGGCCGAGAGTGTGGAAGGTGCCACATCGTCGTATGTCAGACCGCCGGATGCCGTCGACCGTGATGGACGCTCTCGCGAACCCGATTGCGGTGGCACCGCGTCGGCAGCCGTTGCAACTCCGGGCGTGCGCGCGTCGAACATTCTATCGCAAGTTTCGGCCCAGATTCCGAGCAGTGAAGAAATCGCGCAGCGGGCGCAGACAAGGCGGGATGTTTTGGATGCCGTAGCATCGAAATCCGCTTCAAAGCGGAAGCTCGAGCTTCTGAACGAAGGCTGCGACGAAAATGACGGCGGTAAGGACTCCACATTCTTCATTGTAAATAAGAAGATGCTGAACG